AAAAAAAAAAAAAAACAAAAATTTGAAAACTAGTTATTTTTATAAAATTAAGGCGAAAAATTAAGTTAAATATGAATACATTGTTAATAGTGGTAACGTTAACCCTGTTGGGTAATTATGTGAAAGTAAAAGCGCAGCATCAGCAACAAATCGAGCCAGCGTATTTACGTCAATATTATCAGCAATTGCAACAGCACCAGCACCAGCAAGCTGTTGCAGGTGGTGGAGCTGCTGATGCTACACCTATCTATGAACAAAATGCTGAACAACCCGAACACTATATGCCGTCTGGCCAGCAATTACGTGTTAAGGACACCGTACAGGAACAAGTATAAGCGAATCACAACCAAACGTCTGTATGAATATCTATGTGTTATATATTTTCATATTAATTTTATAGATACGAGCACAGCAACAGCAACAACACGCCCAGCATCCACAGCAGGCTGCTTATATAGCACCAGCTGTACGTGATTACTTGCAACATCAGCCGCAAACTCAACAAGTATGTGTCGCACACTTTTTTGCTTTTCTTTTCATATGTTGTTGTAAACAAAAACGCATTTAATTGGGTTTTACATTGTGTGCAGTCTACAAAAAAAACTAAAGAAAAAAAACAAAACAAAAAAGCAATAAAACGCATGCATATAACAAAACTGTTAAACGAGTACAAGCGAAGCTTTTTCCTTCTTCGGATTTGTAGGGGAAATAAAATTTGCTTCAAACCCTGAAAAGTACTGGAGTTGAAATCAATTTTCTCTTCATCTTTCCTTTCGATTTACAGATTCAATATCAACCTCAACAACAAGTGGTTTATCGTCAACCCCAACCTGTTGCTGCTCCTGTTGCTCATAGACGACCTCAACCGGTCGCAGCGCCTCAATATCAAGCTGTCGTTCCTCCCAGACCTAAAGGCAAGGGCCATTTGGAAGAAGAAGAAGAGGAATATGATGATGTAAGTTATTTTCATTGATATCGTAGTTAAGATGAATTTGATATTCAATATTCTTCATATCTGTTCAGCCAATCACTTCACGATAATATTATTTTGATTGTGATGTTGAAAAATTTATTTTCAAACGCATTCAATTAACCAGTTTCGTTTACGTATAAAATATAGTTTTGTAGTTTTTCGAAAACATATATTTCTTTATGTTTGGCATTGAAATGCATCAAAAAGCATTGAAATGCTGCAGACATTTACGGTTGAATGCAAACCACTGATATGTACGGACAATGACGTTAATGTAACGTATAAGGTCATTAACATAACATCTCCATACATCTATCCATCTATCCATACACCCATACACGTGAATCTGCGTTCACGCAAATGCATGGCCAAAAAACCTCAGTCAACTAAACGCTGATTGCCGAATTGTAATGAAAGTTATCGAAGCGCAAATTTGAAATGCGCCGCTCAAACAAATACATAATGATACATGGCAAAGGCGTCGTTGAACGCTTAGACAGACAACAACAGGGACGAGGGAATAACACATCAGTTAGAGCTGCGGCTGCGTTCACACAGTTGTAGTTGCAGTAAATTTGTAGTAGCGGATGCTGGCCAATGTTTTTTCATTTATTTGTAAATCGCTTAAACTTCCGTACGGAAATGCATAACGTGACATGTAACGTATAACGAACTCTTTTAATTTTCTTCCCTCGTTTTTCTCAATGAAATCATTTTATATCGTTATATATATTTGTATGAATACGTCTCTCTGCATATATTAAAATGTTACAATGCACACAAAAGTTACAATACATATATATATATATATATATATATATATATAAGCGTATATTCATTTAACCGAAATTTTTTAAACCTTCTTTCATCTCTTTTTCATTTCATAAATAAAACTCATTCTATTAAGTCCAGTTTAAGACTAATTTTAAACTCACAAATACTTCCTTTCACTTTTAACTTATTTTTAAATTCGAATTTTAATTCGTATAAAATTTTTGAACAATCGGAAAACATAAAATACTCTATTTTCCGGACTATGAGACGCACCGGACGATGAGACACATACTTCAAACTTATAAAATGATTTGTAGAAAAATATATTTTAATGTTACTTGCGTATCAAAATTTTCATTTATTGTTAACATAACTCGTATTAGCAATGTTCAATTCATCTTCACTGTCGGTACTATCATTCGTCTTGTTAATGTCACCGTTCATATCACTTTCGGTTGAACTACGGTTGTCACTACTTTCAAGCCTTTAATTTGGAGACGATTTATTGAAAAAATATTTTAATGTTGCCATCGAGCCAAGAGACGCATCCAAAATTTGAGTCCATTTTTCTATGTAAAAAGGTGCGTCTTATAGTCCGAAAAATACGGTAGCTCATAAATCTATTCGCATTCTGTTGGTAATGGTGTGCCGTCTCGATACAATGTATGCATGCGCACCACCAAGACTCGAAGCTTTTCGATTGCTTGGTAACAACAATTCGCTCATTAGAATTGCGTTCAAATTGCTTAACATGTACACACACATACATACACGTAGACGCGCGCGCGCATGAAAACGAAAAAAACGAATTCTTACATTTAATGACTTTGTTTTGATTTTTATGTCAAAGAATTTCTTTCATACAATTTTTGCGCAATTTGTTTTGCATCCACTATTTAATGTATATTGGATTTGAACAAGCGTTCGTAACATACAGATATGCAGGCATCGGTGACGAACATAAAGATGACTGGTTTTCTTGATTAGAATGAGTAAGAAAAACGATTTAGCCCTGTCTGTCTGTCTGTCGGATTACAGTGCGGAGTGTTAACTAAAACGACAAAGTTGATCTCAGAACATTTCTTATCATTCTCCTCGACTAACTTTAAAAACTCCGTCAAATTGCGTATTCCACCCATAGGGTATTTGAAAAAAAAGAAGAGGCTGAACTAATAGTGTTTTATTATTATTATTATTATTATTATTATTATTATTATTATTATAAACTTAGCCAGAGTATAAATTCTAAGACTAAAGTCTTAAAGCATTAGCATCTAAGGCTTTCGGCTTTATTAAAAACTCTACCGCACTTGAGATTTGAAACCACGACCATTGAGTTGCTAGTCGAGACTCTTGCCTACTCGGCCACTCAGGCGGCTGAATAATAGCATTTTAAGTTGGCACTTTTGCTTGCGAGCTAATGATGAATTGTATAAAAATATGAATTGAAATGTCTGCAGCAAATATTGTGTAAGACCAACGGCATACGAATATCGAAAGTGAATTTATATGAATACCTATACAATACGCACGTTGACATATTGTTGTCGATGTTTGTGTTCACACACAGTTTAATTACACCATTTCTGCATTAAAATTAATGTGACTCGCTTGCAAAAGTAATCGCAATAGGAACTAATGGAAAGTATTTAAAAACGAAGCCAAGCTTAGATGTTTCTAACTCAAAAAATTGTTGTAATAAACAAATTAAATTTGCCATGCGTATAACTTTGCTTGGCATAGTAATCATTCAAGATTAATTCTAAGATATTTTAAGATTACGATATTTCATTTGTTGCTGTTATCCTTTTTTTTCTACTAGTCTTGTATTTGCTAAATGCAATCAATGAAATTTATAGGCATCTGTGAGTAACCTTAATTTAGATTCTCATGATTGCATGTATAAGTGTCGTGTAAGAGTTCTTGAAATTCTACAAATATCCCCTTGTATTGAAATTTAATTTGTTGAATTGACAATATTACCGCAATATGAACAGGTTCAACAGCGCAACTACATCTCCTGTAATATTTTGTATATGAAAGTTGAAAAAAAAACGTAAAAACATCTCCGAAACTTACATCATTCCCTTTTGTCCGTTTATTATTTCACTTCGCTCGTTAGAATTCGCTGAACTGTTAACTTTTCTTTTATTAGTTCTTCTGCTACCTATTTCTTTCAAACTTACTCATCCATTATCCTTCGTTACCTCTTTTATGCAACTTGATCTATTTATTTATATGTTTAATTCTTCTTCCTCTTATATATTATTACTTTATTTTGTTTTTTTTTTTTTCTTTTTTGGTTTTCAACTTAAGTAATTTGTTAATATTTATTTCGCAGTTAATTGAATATATAAAGTTGAATTTTAGTTAAAAGTGCATAAAAGTCGAACCCTACCGTTATATTGTAATACACTTAGTATACTAATTGATAAGTTTATCAGTGGTATTAGTGATTGCACGCTGGCTGCACCCAAACAGTCCGCCTTAGTAAGCTATAAAGAAACTACCTTAACCTACTTTTCTAGTTGTTCTTCTGTCTCTTGGTTTTTTTTTTCGCATATTTAGTTCTTGTTTTCTCTGTTGTAAATTTTTTTTTTATTTATTGACTTAAATCTGACAAAACTTTATGGGTAATTGTTTGCATCACAACCTTGAGCTGATGTAATTTATGTTTAAATTCGCTTCTTTTTTTTAATGATTCGTTGATCGCTGACGGTTTGATTATAATGAAAAATTTCAGTAAAAGAAACCTTGAATAATTTCAATTGAAATTAAAATTTTTAAAAGACAAAGCAAGAAATTGAAAATAAAAAACCATTCACTGGTCTTATGTGGATTTTAATTTTCTTTTTAACAAATTCCTTCGCTTTTGTAAACTTTTACTTTATTTGCTTTATATTATGTCCCTACATTCATACATACATTGTACACACATAAATGAATGCACACATAAGTATACCACTAAGTATGTGCATTTTCGTATAAACAAGTTTTCGTTTTAGCGTTTTTTTTTTTTTTTTTTTTTTTTTTGTTTTTTTATAATATGGATCGTTTGTGAGAATGTGTATGAGTATGCGTGTGCATGTACCTATATGCCTATTGTCTATACTTATAAGCTATTTGCTCTACGTACTATGTGAGTACAAGTAGCAGCAATACGGCCTCAATCTAAATAATACAGCAACGGCCAAAGATACATTAAGAGTTTAGACACGTTTGAATTCCTACACATTTCATGTATCATTGTATCACAGTGTGTGATCTTTACCGGTCTGTCGAAATACTTGTATATAAACCTATGAATATAGCATGCGTCGATCTATGGAGTTTTAATAATTGAACTCTTTTTTTTTCTACTTTTATTCACAAAAAAGAAGAAGGAAAGAAAACAAGTTCATCGACGAACAATGGCAACGAAAACAAACGAAAAAACAAAAAAGCATAGTTCTATTTCCTTTAATAAAATACACCCACCAATTTAGGAGAATACATACGTAATAATTAAAAAAAAATTATTTTCACTTTTATGATGAGTCCGTCATATGCTTCAGTACAACGAATTTTTTATTAACTATGATAAAGTCAATAAATGCTATTTTCCCTTGTAAGATGAATATAATTTGACGTGTGATAAAGTTCGCAAAATATTTATAAATTTTTGTTTGTTTTTTTTTTGCCATTAGTTAACTTTGCAATAAGTATATATGACAAGGAATTACTTTCTCGTAGATATGGCGTTTTAATTAAAACATAAGAAGAAAAACTACTTGGCATCCAAACTAAATAATGTTCACAAATATATTTGGAGTTTACTTTAAAAGTTCGGGAATAGTGAAAGCGTAGGCTTTAGGCTGTATCATGTTCAAGCTGATCGCTTCATTTAAGGGATCGATTCAAGGATACATAGCCCTGACCATATTAATAAAATACTTTTCATCATGAAAATATTAAACACAGAAATTTATAAAAGCATTTATAAACAAGTAAAAGGACTATAGTGGGACACGATCCACCATTAAATACCCTTCATCATTTTGCTTAATACCATTATTCACATAATGCCTTTTTCAAAATGAGTCCCATGTAACGGGAAGACGTTGAAAAAATGATTCGATCCGAATCATTTTCAATAGCGTTCTATGGTCTTTTGGGTTAAAACACGTCAGTGTATAAAATTTTATCAATATATCTCAAAAAATATGACG